ATAGTCATTTGACTGATTGGCATTCTCCGTTTGTTATTGTCCTCAATCCATATAATCAATAGTTTTTCCATTTTTTCCATAATCCAATTTCTTTGGCGTGTTAATCTCGAGACATTTAAAGGTGCAGCAGATTGCAAATATGTTTTAATATCTTCTTTTTTTATCGCGAATTGTTTGAATGGTAGATTTCGCAAGTCCCATTGCCTTGCAAATTTCAATAATTTTCTCTCCAGCTTCTATACGACGAAATACTTCTAGTTTAGTTCCTAGCGTGACTGATTTTCGGCATCTCTTTTTATCAGTCTCCGAAGTCGATAATCGTTTCGGTGGCATTTTGTCTAAAAAATAATGAAATTATAAAATAAGTTTAATAAAAAAATACATATTAAAAATTTTTAATTTGTACATACATACATATGTACTTACGTACCAAAAATGTCCCTAATTGTTTCCAATTTTTCCAGTTAATGTGTAACAATCAGTAATAAATATGTACTACATAAAACACTCACAGACAAGTCTAAACCAGCCGCTTTATGAGCACACACTGAATAACGCTCGTAAACAAGAAGAAATAGAAAAGAGTGTGCATCGAGATTGCGCTTGCACAAGATTGGCAACATGTAGATATATCGACATCGAAAAAAGTTTTTTTTGCCGTTTAGCGAAGCATTTTAGGCCGTAAATCGAAAACGTGCCTTAATTGAAGAGGGCCGTTATAGCGAAGTATGGGTGTATTAGTTGTTACAAATAAGCAACATGCAGAACATCAGGAAACCTTGTACATTGTAATATTTGACCTACCCATTAATTAAATAATAAATAAGAAGACATAGCCATAATACCCAAGAATATTTACAGTAGTCACATACATACAATTATATACATAGTGGGTATTATGAGAGAAAGGTATACAGAACAGTAGCAAATAAAAAAAATCAAAATTAAAAAGTTAAATAATATTTCTATACGGAGTATAGATTTTATGTGAGTTATAAATAAATTATTTAAATTATTATTATTTTGACTTTTACATTTTACAAACATTGCTATTTATAATTACAGAAAATTTATCTAAATTGTACAATTACGAAATATTATGAAATAGAGTTGATACAAAGTTTACATAATTATACAGAAATAATTTTATAAGTATATCAGTTACAATAAAATATTTACATACAAATGTGTAGCATATAATATTTTCAGTGCCAAAGTATAGAGCGTTGTGTTCCCTGTCAGTAAAGTTCTTATAGTCAGCTTTTAGTTTGAAGTTTGCCTCATCACGTATTTTATTTATTACAAAAATTGCGTTTGATTTTTCATTTTCAAAAATAAGGGCGCATCTCGCTTTCTAGATAATCCTCTTGGTCAAAGCAGTAACCCAATTAATTAAGTAATTATTTTGGTTTTTAACAGGGAAATTAGAATGGAATTTTACGTTTTGCCAGCAGATACATATATTAAAAATTTTGTCTACCCAGCGCCAAGTTGGCTCAGCGATGTGGCACTCAAAAAATATGTTATAGATACTTTCATTTTGATCACACCGAGGACAACGAGCAGTAATTACACGCTGGTAAGTGTGAAGATACTCTCTAATATTTTGTCATAAGAATACTGGACATATCTGCATACTTTCTTTGGTAGCTCTACTTTTGTCACAGTGTAAAATATAAAAACTTTGTTTTTTCTTTTGTAAATAAAATTTAAAATAAAATCTGTTTAAGTTAATTGAGTGTTTTGACTCTTTTTTTGTGCTTTTTCCAACTATCACAACATCAATTATGTAGTTGGTGATGAGCAAAACAGAGGTCGCATTTTTAAAACCAATGTCAAGGGTAGCTTTACTTTTGGCTACTACTGTATGCATCAGACATTGCCAAATGACATCTATTTCAATACTTTTATTTAAATTAATCGACTTTTAACTGTTGTAATTTTTTTAATATGTTCCTAAAACAGTTTTCTTAATATGCAGACAAATACTTTTTAGTTATCCTACCGCCATGTCTTGTGAAATACAAAAACTAAGGAAACTGTCTATAACATTATCCAATTGACGTCACGTGTTTTTCCAATTTTGTACCTAACTTTCCCCTAGTTTCACCACTATAATTATCGTTTTTCTTACGTCTACTACTTTGTTTATACACCACCCCGACGTCTCAAACTTACTTTGTATGCAGTGAAGGCTTACTTCCTTTTTTTATTGTTTTCTTCATTTTCTGTATTACGTTATAGCTTCTTTTTTTTGCAACAGCTGTTCGATAGTAAAAATTAACATTTTATTACATCTACTATACCTCTTATTTGATGTACTGCATTACACTATAATAAGAAATAGGAAATTATAGAAAAAGTTATTGCGTAGTGAGAGTATATATAACATGTTAGTTTTCCAGTATAAATTCACCCGTTACAAGACAAAGAGAAAATGCAGTTTATTAAGAAAAATCTATATCGGTGGTTGTGGTTTATGATGTGAACTTCAAATAATTACCAGAAAAAATTTATACATAACTCGCCAATTTTAATGAAACATGCAGCAGTTCGGTAATAGAACGAAGTGAAAAGAGCGAAATCTTAACCTCAATTCCATGCGAGAAGAGTTAGAAGATAGTTCTTAAAATTACAGAACTAAAGGGTACAGCGAAGTATTAGAAAACTGCAAACAAGGAGAAAGTCAGATAAAGAAATACTGACTTATGGCTTTGAAAACTCGAAGAATTCAGTGCATTTTATATGAGTCAAATTTTAGACCCAGAGACAAAGAGAAAATGAATATTAATGTATTACATTAACAGATTTAACACGTCGTAACACTAGTTTAATTAATGAACGAGCAATTATTTATTCTGATATCGTCACAATGCTGGGTATTTTTCATTTATTTCACTTAAAGTATATGCACTCCACCTCCAATTAGCTGTGTGTTGTCTTTGTACATCATAATTTCCTGATAGCAATGGAGTTGTTCCGGTCATATATCTAACACCTTCCAGGAAAAATTATTAAATTGAAATAACGTGCTTTCCGAATCGCGTTATTTCAAATCCAATAATTTTTCAAGGCGGATGTTCCTATATAGTTACCCTGAGGTTCATATCCCTTCGCTTCCCAAGTCTTGTTTTGCTTTTCATTTATCTCATAGCGTGTTAGAGAGGGAAAATGAACAGACAGGCAAACCGACTAACAATACTGAAAATTTATAAATCAGTAGTTTTTTTTGTTTATATTGCAACTTAAAAATACAGATAAACAAAAATGTACAACCGGAAACACTTAACATTAACAATCAAATACTTTGATCGAAAAATACAGTTATAGCAGTAATTAGTATAGCACTAATGGATTAGTCTGATATCCAGATGTTACTTTAAGGTTATACACTGCAAATACATAGAATTACAGCAGAAATTTGGTGTCACATGTTTATTACTGTTTCGATACTGTCTTCTAATATTGGAAGTTTGTGGTGTTCTGTTTTCATATGACTGGCTGTTCACATGGAGTATTTTTCAAACTTTCTTCAGGTTTATAATAAATAAATAGATTTTTCTAAAAAACTCTGAAAAATCTTCCATCAAAAGGTCATTTGAGGGTCGGCGAGATAAAAATGTTGTGTGTCGTATCTCCAGAAGGGTCAAACCTAACGAAGATTTCTATCCTTATTAACATTTACACTTTTTTCCCTTTTATAAAATTCATCTTTATCCTGAAAATGAAGCTTTCCGATATTTTATAATAACTAAATATTTATAATATTTTAAATAAAATATCATAAAAATGGCGTTACACGCAATGTAAATGTAATTAACGAGAAAGTCAAGAAAGTCGTTATTAAATTTTATAGTTAAATTTTAAGCAGGATAAATTGAAAATAAATATAAAACAAGTATCGAAGTGTTACGAATAAATTAAGTAAATTTTATTGAAAATGAATTAAATTTGGTTTCTATTATTAATTAACGTTTTTGCAATCTTCGATACATGAAAAAAATGTGAGAGGCAAATTGCCCCTGTAATTAATTAATTAATTTAATTGGAAAGTAAAATTTTAAACAAAAAAGTATTCGTCGATTTTGGTGGGAAAATAATGTTTTCTAAAACAAAGGAAACGGGCAAAAGTCACTTCATGCAACGGAAGATCGACATCCTTTTGTTTTCCCCTTATCTGCTAAAATCTTAGTCACCCTGAGAATTGTTAACCCCTCGATGAATCCCCTTTTCCTCTGTTCACGTGAGAGAATCCAAAAAGCTGATTGGAAAAAACTCATGAGAAATCGAAAGAGTTTTAGAGGGAACATTGGTCAGTAGATAAAGAAGAAAATATATAAATATGTGCCATGCAAGATCTACCTAGAAAGAACGGAAGTCAATTCTTAAAGAACAGTAGAAGAGAAATAGACATAGAGGTAGAATGATTACAGTAGAAATTGTGAGCTCTCTCTTTCGAAACGTTCACTTTAATTATTCCATTTTTGTATAATTTTGTTATTTTGTTTCATTAAATCTTTGTTTTTATTTGTAAAAAGGAAATGTCTCAGTATCAAACGAGAGGTTCATTTTGTATCATCTCCACACGCGTGTTAATCCGCATACACTATAAAATTGATTAACTGGTGTCGGGAAACCCGACAAGATCTAGAATTAATCCTCTAGATCGTTTTTAAACTGAATAACGCTGTTCTAGAAAAAGTAGTGAGCCAATCTTGCGATTGTGTGCCCGTAAGTGCCCTTGGCTACTCACAAAAATGTGACACTTCGACTTTTACAGCAACTCTAATGACATTCTCATTTTCATTGTTTGTTTTTATTGCTAACAATTCAAAATTCATAATGGTTTATACTTGATATTAAACTTTTCTTACGTGTATTCCAAAATTTTATATAAATGGAAAACAGGACATTAATTTAAATGTAATTTTTGAACAAAAATTGCGACAATTTTCAACAATGTCGTCGATGTAACAATTTCCAATTGTTGCAATTGTTGAAGCGAAATGAAGAAAAGTTTGGAAAGTATTCGTTTGCGATTTTCCAATGAAAAAAATGAAGAAAGAGGTAAATTTAATCAAAAGCAATGTTTACCAACGACATTTCTTTAATATTTATTTAAAATTCTATCAATTTAGTTATAGTAGAAGTGATGAAGCTGAACCCAACGGTCAGCAAAATCAGAATTATTGGATTAATAATGTAAGTTATTCAATTTCATTTATCAACTTAGAAATTACTTTTTTGATTAAATGTGAATTAACAGGTCTTTACTCGATTTTAAAATATGCATTAAGAGTAAAAAATATTATTATTTTAACTTGTGAGATTACGTTTCACTCCCTTGGAAAAAATCATTGCCTTATTTGGTCATTTAGATCGACTTTCTCGATTTTAGAATAGAATCGGTTCTCTCGGACTTAGAGGGGTGTACGGGATTTTGCTTTATCCCGGTCGGTGACCTTTTGCTTACTCTCTGTACAGTAACAGGTGATTGTCACTGTTAATTGGCTACTCATCTGCACTTTATATTTACGTTAGACTTGAACGATCCTCTGGTGTAAGTCGTATGAATATCGTATCGTATGAGTAAAGTCACCTTGGATGTGACGCAGTACACTGAGGGGTCAAAAAGGTCTCCTCTTTACTTAACGAGAGGGGAAAAGGAAAAAAAAAAATAATGATAAAAATAAACTATACCGACGGGTGTAAATTCACACTCAAGTCTGAATTCTCACAATTCATAATTTACTTTCTGTTGGATAATAAAAAATCTCTCACGAATTATCCAAGAAATTAGTACTGTACGTTTGTATTTTTACGAACAAAATTAAATTTGTTTAATAAATATTGTTTGAACGAAAATTATGTTAATATTTATAAATCAATACAAATATTACAGACTTGTGTTCGTTTTAAATTGTACGTGTTGTCACGAATAATATTTTATTTGAATTGCTTTTCAATATTTAGAAACAAACATTCATGTAATTAAAGTTTTTAATCTTTAATCTTAAAATTTCTTAAAATGTTTTCGTTAGATTTAAGTAGAAAATTAATAGTTATTGCTTCGGGAAACAAGCAAGTAAAACAACGAGACAAACAATTATTTAATTATGAGGATACTAGCATATAAGCTTGGACAAAAATATAGTACAGTAAAAGCTTAGTTCTTTAGGACAAGCTTTTCTTTTTTCCCTCTCTCCTGCTAAAGAAATTTTTAAAAATCCCTTCTTAGTGTGCATTCTCGTGACGTATCCTAACTGTGTACCAAATTTCAACTTTCAACCCCTAACCGTTTTGGCTCTGTGCTTATTATTTTTATCATCATCAACCCATCTCGATTATAAGATTGAACTAATTGAAGAAGAAAATTGAAAATTAAAATAGTGGAAATAAAAAAATAGTTTTAAACTGCCCACTAGAATAGAAATCAAAGTATTCAAACATCGAAAATGAATTGAGTTGGCCGATGTGATGCGTCCAGCAATGGCTGAGCGGAGAAAATAACTAAACAGAATACTGGTGCTTGGTAGCAGATTAGCGCCTGACCAACAAAAATGTGAGGTCCGAAATCTCTTCACTTGTTTACTATTTTGTCTTTTATTTTTCACTGTCTTCGAAAACAGAGTTGTAAAAGTTAATGTATTTGTCAAAGTCGAAGTGGGAGAGACGATGTATGGGGACAGATTGAAAATATCGAGATTTATAAAACTAGCAATTACCAGCTTAAATATATAAAAGAAAGACGAGGTAAGCACTTTATTTGAAAATTAGGTAATCGGTCCAGATGTCTTTCGAGCGATAAAACACCTTCCTTCTTTGATTACTGGTCATCAACCGAGGAAGTTCGCTCTTTCCTTAATTATGGGCTATCACCTCAGGATGTCCGTAAGCGAACGTGGGAAGAATGATAGCACCGGCTGGAAGTGAGGGAGACTCCAATCGCTTCCGACCCGAACTTGGTCCCTAGCAACGGAGCAGTAGTCAATGAGTGAAAAAGAAAAAGTTGGACAAATCCAAATCATGGATTTCGAGTCCGAATCGTATAAAGGGGACTGATTCCCAAAGACAAAGTTAGTCGCCGTCAATGCAGAGCGAGTTCGTAGCCGCCGAGAATCTTCAGTGAATCGCCGCCATCGTAAAGCGCGTACGTTGTCACAGAGAACCTCCGAGGTCGTCGTCGCCATCGCAGAGGACCGTGTTAACATTGGATCTTCGTACGTCATGGACATCTGTCAATCCGACCAGAGACACAGATTTACTTTTTCTCCCATCAACTTCGTGCTTCTCCGCCCAGTCCACCCAATGTCATTCGATCAACCATCGAGAGCCCATAAATTACCCGAACAAGATCAACTAACTTTATCCGAACATCGTTTTCCATCTGGAATCGCATCCACTTCGAGTGTCGTCTTCGACTAATTGTAAAATGTTTTTCCTTAAAAGTAATCGCGTTTATAATTGTACATTTGCGTATGTCTCTGCGTCTGCCACCATTACCTCTCTACATCTCCATCCTCTCGTGTTATCCTGACAAAAGCGTGAGCGGCGCCTTAATCCTATTTTGGAGATTATCGTAGGAGTGTTTTACTAACAAGGGCATCGAATAACGACTTACATGAAGAAAGTCAAAAAACCTTTATGTGACGAATTGGTCACGTAAATTTTCAGGATTTTATTCACGTGTTTAATTAACATTTAAGTATAATACAGGTCAATTTCCCAACAAATGTTCTCACGGGAGGCACCCTCTGCTCCTTGGCAGATCATCTGAGTTTCATTTCCTTATTATATCATACCAACCCAACCCATAATTTTCAAAAAACAATTTTTATGAATATAACTCGAATAATATTTAAATGTATAAATCTTTTCTACTTGAACTAAAACGATTCTAGCAAATAAAATTAGTTATCAAACTGATTGTAGACACAAACTTAAATATAAAATTGTACAGTATAAATCAGTTAATTTATTCATTTAAATTCAAGCATGTTTTGCACGAACTACAGAATATTTTACTAGTAAATAACAAATATAAGCGAAATATAAAAACGATAAAACATTATGTAACTTTATTGTTTACGTTATTACAAGTCGTTATGGTAATGATTTTCCTTTAGTGCACGCATACTGTGTAAATTTAATTACTTTCCTAACAAACTTTTTAATTTATGTATTAATCGATAAACAAATCTGACCTTAAATTAGTAAACACAATTTACTCAGCCACATTCGTTTAGTTACATTTGGATTTACTACCTATACTACCGCTAATCTTCGTTACTGTAGGAAAAAATTCGTACTGCAAATAAGGAATAACTTTCAATGTAAGTTAAGTTTGATAATTGACACAAATTTGCATCGAATAATTTCACTCTTAATTTTATAGTATAAAGAATTAAACAAACACGGTTATGGATAACAATAAACAAGTTGGAAAAATTTTCCAGAAGAATTGGAAGCTGTTATTGAAGCACATGTCTTTATTTGGAATGAAGTTGGAAAAGAAAAGATTTACAATTAGCAATTGCATTTCTCTACTAATTTCGAGTTTTTGTTATATTTCAAGCGATAACTGTATTTCTGCATAGAAATTTTGCCTTACAAACATTTTCCTAGTGTCTTTTATAATATTGTTTTACTTGATAAATTTGATAACACTCTATCATTATCATATAAAAAAAGAAAAACTTTTCCAACTTGTCGAAAACATATTCAAAATATCTTATCTTAGCACCCATAAACAAAAAATCATTATTGTTTATTTGTTACTAATATGGTTCTGTTTGCTGTTGTTCAACATCGATACAATTTTACTATACGCGTATGGTGAAGAGGATGAATTTCATCGGGAATTATTTATAAATGATATTATTGGAATAAATATACCAGATGATATTTCAAGAATAATTTCATATTTCCTGAATTTGTTGCTTTTCATTTATACTGTAATAATTGTAAATGTACTTTTTCTTTTCGTTATTTCACTTTGTAATGAAGTTGAAAATGCATTTAACTGTTTGCATGACAAAATTATTGCTTCTACAGATTTACGTGAAAATTTACGTTCTATATCCTCAATTTACTTTTATAATTTGGAAATTGTAAATTCCATAGTAGAGATTTATTCGCCAATTTTATTTCTTTGGACAGCTAATATGGGATGCAATCTTACTGTTGCTTTTTCTACAATAAGTATAAATATTACTAAAATTCCTATGATTAAGGTTATGTATATGACCATTTTACCGTTTTATTTGTTTTTTCAAATATGTCTGAGTTGTTCGCGAATAACAGCTGCAGCAAAAAATATATCCAGTGCTATATACAAAGTTTCTCTATCCTCCAGAGATAAATGGATTCAAGAATGGTGCTTTCGATTTTCTGTCAAATGCTTACAGGATCTACCGGAAATTACGGCTTGCAGAGCATTTCCTTTGAATATTAATGTCGTTCTTAATATTATCAGCATTGCAGTAGGTTATTCTGTATTGCAATATCAATTAATAAATTCATAGATTTGAATATTTCTTGCACCGCTGATTGCTACGATCTGTAAATTGTTAAAAGTTCAACAATTTATTCTTCTCTAATTATTAATTTAAAGTAATTGTAATTGTGAATTTTTGAACTAACGTTTTGCACAAAAATAACGATCGCGAGTATAAAATGAAACTTAATGTATTTTGTGTTTATAATGGTAAATAATATTAAAACTTAATTTCATTGTAATTTGAATAAAATTGTTTCCACTGAAAACTGCTGTTTAGTTAATCGAATTGTCTATTGAATCAACATCTTAAAACGAGTTCGAAATTATCACATAACATTGAATAATCTCTGTAATCCCTGTCTAAAAATCTTCTGTGAAAGAAGTTTAGGATCAAAGATGCTTAGAATTAATACTCATTTGTCTGAAGAAATCAGAAAGTATTAAATGTTGAGCTTGGCATCGTAGCTAAGGCCTGACAAAAGAGGCAAGCAAGAAGGTACAAAACCCGGATGGCCCGATCAAGGATGTGATTCTTAGTATTTTAATCACGGTGTAAGAAGATGAGGGAGCCTAGTAACACTACGCATTAAATCCTATTTGCATTCCTTTTATCATTTGTCTAGGATCCGTCAGATGGCGCAACGTGTATTAAATTACTGTGTTTTTTCCCATCGAAGTACATTTATCCCATCGAAGTAAGTAGTAGCTTTGTTGTTGTAATATACTATAAAGATAATCATAAAATAAATGCGAATTTTGAATACAGATAAACAAAAATTATAGGTTAGAATTTTCTGTTTTAATTATTTATTTATTCTTTTTTATTTATGATTATAGTGCTATAACAATATGGGAATTTCCAGAGTTTGATGTCGCTACCCGATACTTCTTTGGTTTTCCAGGTAGCCTAACCCAACAAAGATAATACCACGTTTGCGGATGCGATCAGAGACTTACATGGATTAAGTTTTACTCTTAGAGTTGTATTTATTTTACGGACTTTCATTCCTGAGTAGAAAGCTTTTAATTAATTAAACATAATTTAGTGTGGGATTCGGACTCGCCCGGAACTTCGCAAAAATTTACTATGAAATCTATGAAAATTTTACTTTTTCTCGCTTTTCAACCCGAGCAAATAATTTTTTTGTTTTGCGTTTTGGCACATTTCCAATAGAATGTAATAAAGATTTATGTAAGCTGGCATCTCTTCTATCTGTTCTATGTGCAATCCCTTATTACATAAAACATCTAAGCAATCTCCATAAACAGATACTTCACAATGATTTTTAAAGTATTCTTCACAAGTTTGTAATTGTAGCTAAATTCACAATTTTGGATAAATTAAACTAAATCTATTATTTACACGAACAAGTTTACCTTCTTTTAAATTGAAAAACAATTAAATGTAAAAAATGCCTCGATGCAAACGTGGCATAGAGTTTTCTTTAGAAAATCTCTACAGATGAAACCACAGACATAGTAAATAATGTAACATCGAACTTTTCCTTCGCTGCAAACGTGTTTAAAAACAGCATCAAACTGTGCAGGTGACTAAATTAGAAGACTGGTAAGCTGATTTTAATGTAATTCATTTGAGCCGCTTTTATCGATTCTGAGTAGGATTACTTTATAAAGAAAATGAAGATACGGTGTTCTTTCTCTCAGGAATCAGCGAAAAGATAAAGAACATTATCATAATTTGGTAAGAAAACAAAATGTCTATGATATTATTAGTATGTATAGTTTGATAAATATTGAAACAAAAAAAATTTATATGTAGATGAAAGTTATGAGAAATAACATCACATTAAATATACGTAATTAAAAATATAAATTTAACAATTTCATACTTTATATATTTCCGAGACCGTGTCTTCCTTTATTTGTTTTTTCCTCACTACTACGTGCATTAATAGACACAAGGCATTTTACATCATTTTTATTGTGAATCTTCGATAGACCGATACGCGTTTTGGGCAAAGGCCCCTTATCCGTCGGCTACACAATAAAACATATTATAAATATCTTACGTTACAAATGTTTGATCATAATAAGTTATGACATATCATGACATCCAGAATTTTCTTTAGGTTGTGTTGATACATATACCAATTGGTTTCTTTGTGTAGGATTTTTACTTCATCTTTGTCTGAATTTATTATAAACTGCTGATAAGTAACTTACAATTGTCCCTTCTGTGCTTTATTAATTCTAAAATTGAAATATTTTGTTAAATTCATTCAATTATATTATTTTCGGTTTTCCCGTCGTGATCGGTATTGACTCATTAGGAATCGATGAAAGTATGCGGGAATAGCTGAAACTTTGCAAATATTTTACTTGCTAATGTAAGGAGATGATGTCTTTTAAAAATTTTATAACAGATTATATTCTATGTAACATAATGTTTTATAATAGGCCTATATATAAGATATAATATTGAAGGGATGGACGGAAATTAATTTTTTTAAAAGGTGTCAACACACGAAAAAATCGGGAACCCTTGTATTCAATGGCTTAACCTTCCATTTTTATTGGTTCGTAGGCTACTGGAACCAATCTTCCATCTTACTTTCTCGGCTTCTTGTGCATATAACACAAGAAAGTATTGAAATCGTATCATCTTTGACCCTCCGAGATTTTTGGAAATTTCGACGTTTTAAACCGAAAAAAGCCAAAAGAAATTTTTGCAACGAGTTGCGAAATTTTCCCATGTGTAATGAGATGTTATTTTAAAAATAGCATATGTGTCTCGCATTATCTTTTATTAGATTTTGTTATAAAAAAAAACTTTTTTGTATTATTAATTATTATAAGATGACAAAAACCTTAATTTTGAAGGTAGTGATTGGTTTTATAAAAAAAAAAAAAATTCGAAAATGCTAATGACGAGTACTTTAATTTTCGTTATGTTCGATCTCTCAAGATATAACACGTGATTGCCCGTAATTCCTCTCTCCTGGACCTTTAACATAAGTTTATCGTCATCAATGTCGCATTTTCACTCTTGGAAGAATAATCGGAAAGCTGTTATAACAAATAACAGGCAAATAACAGATGTTGCATGCGAATTTAACATCGCGCACGGTATCGTTTCTAGGCTATGGGCAGCGCATCAAATTAGTGGAATGTGTAGCAGGCGCAAGGGGAAGGTCGTCCTAGCAGTACGATGTTTCAAAAGGATCAGTATATTGTTCTTTCAGTAAAAAGGAACCAACGCAGCACAGCTGGTGAACTAGCAAATCATTTACAGGCATCCACAAGAATTAAGATATCCCGTGGAAATCCGAAGACCTATTGTGTGTGTACCACTATTGTGAGTTCACCAAAGCGCCCATTTGCAATGGTGCCGTCTGCATTGCAATTTCCCTAATGACGACTAATGATCCTGATCATCTATATCTACTTCTACTGTATCGATTAGGTTAAAAAGTTGGTTAACCTAACGATACAGCGATTAGCTCTTATCGTTGAGAATTCTTGGATATCTTCATCTATAACTTCTTCCACACTTTGTTCGTGCTAATTCAGTTAATTCTTGCCAAGCGAAGTCGATATTTCCTATGGCATTCATGATGTTATATTTTTTTCCAAAACTGCACAAAATAAACATAGATTTAAAGAAATTACACTTTTTTGCCACCTTTTGCTGATTAGGTTTTTTGTTCTCAAATAATCGTATTATATACGAATCAATGAAATGCCGCGATAATTTAAATCAGCGTAAATTTGAGCTATCTTTTAGGCTCAAGCAGAACGCGTTATATCGAATCAGCGTTAAGCGAGTCTTATTGTATTCATGGCACATAATACCGACGGGCTCCGAATACCATCTGTATATGTAAAAGTGTCTTAATTCGGTCTGTGCGGATGAGTGGGTACATCATCGTAGAAGCCTTTCTAGGCTGAAAACGCTGCTAATATTTGTTTCTTGTTTAGAAAATTTAATCGGAGATTTTATGTATGATATTTAGAGCACAGTTTAATTTAAAATTTAGTGGTAATCTGCATATATTTAGAGAATAGTAAATAATAATCGGTATATATTTATTGTACTTTACATTAATGCATATACCAAATTGGGGTATATATTATCTCATTAAACCATTAATTTCATAAAAATTTACATAAAAATTTCTATTTATTTCCTTATATTTCTTTATTATGTTTACTTTCTAACGAATAAAAAAAGCAGTTTTTTAGTGAAGAATTTATTACTTTCGTAAGGAGAAAAATCAAATGTAATTATTAAAACAAACCAAAGTAATACTTCATTCATGCCAGGAAATTTCGATTATGCAATTAAATAGATTTCAGATTTTTAAAAGGCATAACACTTAAAGAAACCTTTCATTTCGTTTACAAGTTTAACTTTGCAGTGAAAGTCGACAGTTAGCACAGAAGATATAAGACCTCATTCATTAATGCCAACTAACACAAAAATTGATAGAATAATATAAAGGTATAAATTTATTTCGTTATATACAGTATTTTTCTGGTTTTCCTTGTATTAAGTTACTGGCACAATGTCACGAATCTTTTGAACAAAATTTCTGCTACATTATAACCACTCCAAAAACATGAGGCATTAATTTCTGTAGACATTTTCTAGCTGCATTTTCCAACA